TAAACAGAAATTAATTCTTGATACATGCTAAACATATTATGATGAAATATTATGCTGAGTAAGTCAGTCACAAAAGGACAGTGTATGATCTCACTTATATGAAATAGGTAAATGTATATAGACTATACCTATAGAGACTACACCTGAACATAAAGAAAACAAAAATCCTTACAACTAGATGAATAAGCAACATCATGATAAATGGAAAAAATACTGAAGTTGTCAAGTATTATATTTTACTTGGATCCACAACCAATGCCCATGGAAGCAGCAGTCAAGAAATCAAACAACATATTGCATTGACAAATCTGCTGCAAAAGACCTGTTTAAAGTGTTGAAAAACAAAGATGTCACCCTGAGGACTAAGGTGCTCCTGACTCAATCCATGATATTTTCAATCACCTCATATGGGTGCAAAAGCTGGACTATGAATAAGGAAGACTGAAGAATTAAAAACCAAACCAAACCCACTGCTATCGAGTTGACTCTGACTTATAGTGACCCTACAGGACAGAGCAGAACTGCTCCACAGGGTTTCCAAGGAGCAGCTGGTGGATTCAAACTGCCAACCTTTTGGTTAGCAGCTGAGCTCTTAACTACTGCCTAGAAGAATTGTTGCCTTTGAATTATGGTGTTGGCGAAGAATACTGAATATACCACGGACTACTAGAAGAACAAACAAATCTGTCTTGGAGGAAGTTCAGCCAGAATCCTCCTTAGAAGAGAGGATAGCGAGACTTTGTCTTGCGTATTTTGGACATGTTATCAGGAAGGACCGGTTCCTGTAGAAGGACATCATGCTTAGTAAAGTAAACAGTAAGAGAAAAAGGGGAAGACCCTCAGTGAGGTAGACTGACACAGTGGCTGCAACGATGGACTCCAACACAGCAACGATTATGAGAATGGCGCAGGACTGGACAGCGTTTCGTTCTGCTGTACAAAGGGTTGCTATGAGTCAGAACTGACTCGATGTCACCAACACTAACAACAACAGAGAGACTCAACCTTATTAGTGGTTGCCAGCAGTGAGAGGGAGAGGGAAAGGGGAATTCTTTGCTTTGGGGGGCACTGAGTTTCTCTTCAGGGTGGTAGAATAATTTGGAAAAAGGTGATGAGGCTGCACAACATGATGAACATAATCAATGTCACTAAGCTGTACATGTAAAAAACGCTGACCTGGCAAATGTTTGTTACATATATTTTTACCCTGATAAAACAATTTTAAAAAATGGGCTAAGGATCTAAATAGACGTTTCTCCAAAGAAGATATACAAGTGGGCAATAAGCACATGAAAAGATACTTAACACCATTAACCATCAGGAAAATGCAAATCAAACCACAATGAAATGCCACTTTTCATCCATTAGGATGTCAATTATCAAAAAAACAGAAAAGAACAAGTGTTGGCAAGGATGTGGATGAATCAAAACCCTCATCCATTGCTGGTGGAAGTGTAAAATGGTGCAGCCACTGTGCAAAACAGTTTGGTGGTTCCCCAAAAAGTTAAACATAGAACTACCACAGACTACCAATTCTACTCTTAGGTATATACCCAAAAGAACCAAAAACTTATGTTCACATAAAAATTTGTACATGGATGTTCACAGCAACACTATTCACAATAGCCAAAAGGTAGAAACAACTTAATGTCCATCAACAGAAGAATGGATAAACAAAATATGGTGTATATATGCAATGGAATATTATTCAGACATGCATGCCACAACATGGATGAACCTTGTAAACATCATGCTGAGCGAAATAAGTCAGACACAAAAGGTCACATACTCAATATCACTGAATCATATATGTAAAAAATGTTAAAATAGCATGTTTTGTGTTATATATGTATGTACGTGTGTGTGTGTATATATATATGCACACACACGTTATACATATTTACTTTATAAATATTTAACAAACACAAAACATGCTATATATACACACACAGTTAGCCCTTCATATCCTAGGGTTCCGCATCCTCAGATTCAACCAATCACAGATAGAAGATATGTGGGAAAAAAAAGGAAGTTCCAAAAAGCAAAACTTGAATTTGCCATGCAAGAGCACTATGCTGAATCCACGCCAATGAAGTGAGGTGTCTGCAAACCCTGCTGTAGCCTCCTGCCATCTCACACACTCAGTCTCTCTCCAGACTCGGTTGTTGAGCATTATTCACCTCTTGTCTTGTCATTATTCCCTAAACAATACGGTACTGTATAATAACTATTTCCATAGCATTTACACTGTGTTAGGTATTATAAGTAATCTAGAGATGATTTAAAGGATACGGGAGGATGTGTGTAGGTTATGTGCAAATACTATGCAATTTTATATAAGGCACTTGAGCATCCTCGGATTTTGGTATCTGCAGAGGTCCTGGAACCAATCCTCCCATGGTTACCAAGGGACTGTATATATATATATATATATACAGCAGGACTGGGCAGTGTTTTGTTCTGCTGTACATGGGGTTGCTATTAGTTGGAACTGACTTGACAGCAACTAACAACAACAACAATATATCTATCTACCTGTCTGTATGTCTATCTGTCCATCTATGTATATATACATACTTATGTATATAAGGAGCCCTAGTTGCGCAGTGGTTAAAGCGATCGACTGCTAACTGAAAGGTCAGCAGTTTGAAACTACCAGTGTCTCCGTGGGAGAAGGATGTGGTAGTCTGCTTCTGTAGAGATTCACAGCCTTGGAAACCCCATGGGGTCACTATGAGTCAGAACTGACTCGATGGCAGTGGGGCTTGGGATATATATATATATATACACATATATGTATATATGTGTGTATATATACACACACATACATACACACATACAGAAAATATATACACATGCACAAAAAGGCTCCATTTATATGAAATATCAAGGATAGGCAAATCCATAGAGACAGAAAGCAGATTAGTGGTTGCCAGGGGCTGGGTGGAAGGGGAAACGGGGACTAACTGTTTAATGGATGTGAAGTGTCCTTTTGGGATGATGAAAATGTTCTGGAAATAGACAGTGGTGATGGTCGTACAACACTGTGAATGTACTAAAAGCCACTGAACTGTACACTTTAAAACAACTAAAATAGTGGGTTTTATATTATGTCACTTACTTTGGACATGTTATCAGGAGGAACCAATCCCTGGAGAAGGACATCATGCTTGGTAAAGCAGAGGTCAGCAAAAAAGAGGAAGACCCTCAATGAGGTGGACTGGCACAGTGGCTGCAACAATGGGCTCAAACATAGCAACGACTTTGAGGATGGGGCAGGACTGGGCAACATTTCATTCCACTATTCACAAGGTCACCATGAGTCTGAACTGACACAAGGGCCACCTAACAACAACGTTACGTAAATTTCACGTCATTTTAAAAAAGAAAAAGAATGGACCATACCTCCCCCACAAAAATGTATGCTGTTTTTGTACTCCAGGAGAGCCAAGTACGAAAACACCCAGAAGAGCTTGAACATACCTCAATCCCATTCCACCGCCCCTTGACCCTGGAAAAATTACCTGCTTTCATTCTAGTCAGTGAATATTATCTACAGCTTGAGAATTCCTGCATTTGAGTTGCATAACCAAAGAATTTTCAAACTCTTATTTCCAGTTTTAAAGGAAGACCTTGGAAGTATACATTCATCCCTCCCAGATAGTAGCCAGCCAAGACATGCATATGTTGTAAACACACTTGCAGTAGACTGAGCAGCTTCCCAGCCACAACCTGTAATAACCACCTCCCTCTGCTGAGCCTGACAACCATCTGTCAGTGCTGTTAATTGCTTCCTGGTGGTCACCGCTGGGCTGCTCCTGGGCATTGCACCAGGTCAGGCTGCTGGCATCCTTCACTGATTCCTGTTCCTTGCAGGCGTGAATAGAGAAAAGCCTTCTCTTTAGTGAGGTTTATTAGAGCCCCTTTGTGCCTCTGACCTGGGACTTGAGCTCTGCAGAGAAGAGCTGGGCATCTCCCAACTCCCACCTGGCACTCTGACTCCAAAGCCAGGTATCATGGCCAAGAATACTGGCCAGCCAGCAACAGAGCCAGGCATGGCCTCATAAAGCCCAGGGTATCTTCCACCCACATGCCATACTGGTCATCTGAGTGTTAAAAATTACTCGTCATTCCCTTTCTGGGCAGGATGGAAAATACGATGAACCCGTCTAGAGGGAACTCTCAATAACCAAAGAGTCCAGGAATCACAAGAGAAAAAACACAAGACCAAACCCACATTTGACAAGAGTGTTGGTCTTCCTAGATCTGACCCTTTTATCCTTGTCCAAACCCTGTACACATGCACGTGTGCACATGCACCCACACACACACACTGTTTTGGCAATTTCAATATTTATCTCATCCTTTATTCTTCTAGAAGTTAACAATCAGTGGTAAAATGGTCAAAAAGTAGACCAATGGAGAAAAAGCAGGCAAAATCCGAGGCAGTACATTAAAAAAAAATGTGCCCGGGTGATGTAAATGGTAAAAGCACTCAGCTGCCAACTGAAACGTTGGAGGCTTGAGTCCACTCAGAGGCACCTCAGAAGAAAGGCCTGGCAATCTACTTGCAAAAAATCAGCCACTGAAAACCCTATGGAGCACAGTTCTACTCTGACTCACATGGGGTTGCTGTGAGTTGGCATCAACTTGACAGCAACTCTTTTTTTTTTTACATTAAAAAAACCAGTTTAATCTCTGAATAACTGATTTGACAATTTAAAATTTTATCTGTTTAGCCATAAATACTATTGAGAAAAAAACTCTTCAGATATTCTATCAACTCCACTATAATTCTAGGCTTAGGGAAAAAAAAAAAGCTAGAAGAATGTATGTACGTGGAAAAGTTAACAGGATGTAACTTTGGGTGACAGAATTATGGGTAATTTTTCTTATCTGTGTTTTCTAATTGTTATAATCACCATGAATTACTCCTAATAACAAAAAGACAACTGTGTACCCACCTTCATGCAATCCAAACAGCTTCCGCCCCCACATACCTTGTTAAGCTTCCCTAGGGAAGAGATGAGATCCGCCCATTCACTTGACGACTCAAAATTTCTTAAAGCCTTTTCAATCACAGAAGAGTAATTTCTGTATCTGCAGTCATTCAATAGTTCCTGCTCTTCTGGATCCATTTTACATTCTAGCAGCAGAGAAAGGATCTAAAAGCTAATCAAATAATAAACAAATGAGGAAACTATTCAAGGAGATAAAGTGTTCCCAACCCGGAGCCACAGAAGACAGGCTGCCCCGAACCCTCCTGTCCACAACCTCACTTGAGAATCCAATTCAAATATTTATCAAGACCTCTGCACCAGGCACAGTGGCAGGTAAAAGGTAAATAGTTCCTGCCCTCACTAGATCTGAAAGAGAGAAACAAGGACAGGGCAGAAGGAAGCAAGAAAGCTGAGGTCACACTGAGCTGACAAAATAAATTACAGGAGCGAAAACTCCAAACCTACTGTTCCTACTTAGCAATTCTGAATGCAGATGGCCCCTCCCATCTTTGGGCATTTATAAAACCCCAGGAAGAGGAGGTCTCTATGCTCTTAACAAGGAGCTCTGGTGACACAGTAGTTAAGTGCTCAGCTGCTAACTGAAAGGTTGGAGGTTCGAACCCACCAGCAGCTCCACAGGAGAAAGACCTGGCTATCTGCTCCCGTAAAGATTACAGCCTAGGTAGGAAACCCTATGAGGCAGTTCTACTCTGTCCTATAGGGTCTCTGTGAGTCTGAATTGACTCTACAGCACACAATAACAAAAACAACAGGTTCTTAAATTGAACAGTCTATTAGCAATTCAGTCTTCTATAACTAGAGTAGGAAAGAGGATTGGAAATATTCTACAAGAAAATTTGATGGAAAAAAACAATAAAAAGCGTTAAAGAAAGAAAGAAAGAAAAAGAAAGAAAGGATAGAGGGTGAAGTGCCTGATAGCAGCATTGTCAGAAATCCACCTGGTGCGTGTGCAGTCGCTAAGCTCCCCACTGTCCTCCAGGCCCCCCGTTATGGATGTCCTCTAACTTTATGCCTCACCCAGAGCATACAGTCTGGATGTTTGTTGTTGGCTGCTGTGGAGTCGGCCCCTGACTCATGGCCACCAACAGCTGATTTTCGAAAGTAGATTTCCAGGCCTTTCTTCCTAGTCTGTCTTAGTCTGAAAGCTCCACTGAAACCTGTCCAGCATCATAGCAACACACAAGCCTCCACTGACAGAAGGGTGGTGGCTGTGCTCGAGGTGCACTGGTTGGAAATCGAACCTGGTCTCCCCCATGGAAGGAGAGATTCTACCACTGAACTACCACTGCCCAGTCTAGATGTTGGGTGTGCTTACCAGGGTCCAAGCCATCACCAGTCTGTCCTTCTTGCCCTTACATACTCTTTTACGGATTCTTTTATTTTTCCAATGGCTTGATGCATTCATTATACATGAACCACAGCAGCCATTATAAAGACGGAGACGTAGACCATCTAATCCCAATTCTGATAGCAACTATTTGCTTTAAAAAAAAAACTTTTATTTCCAATATGACAAAAGGAAACAGAGAACATGAAATGTTGGACTGAGCTGACTTTTTTAAAACACCCATCATTTGTACACTATAAATGCATATGCATGCATATTTCAAGCTTATTCTTTCAGTTAAAAAAATCTGCTCTATGTCCTTTCTAAACAATTTTTCTAAACAACAAAACATCTGAAGGTTAACCCATCAGTCTATTCAAACAAGTTACAACTCTGAAAAATACTTCACAAGCTGCAGAAATGTTGACTTGTTCCCTTAATCTGTCACCAAATCCCATATTTTAGCATTTTCTCAAAATTAATGCTTTAGCGTTTTGATTTGCTTTCCTTCCTTAGTCTTCATCCGATTAAGTTCTATATAAAATGAGGCAGTCACCTAACCATAATTCCTTGTCCTCCTAATAATAACAAACCAAACAAGGTGCTGTCGAGTTGATTCCAACTCATGGTGACCCCAATGTATGTCAGGGTAGAATTGTTCCATAAAGGTTTCAATGGTGGTGCTCTTTCAGAAGTAAATTGCCAGGCCTTTCTTCTGAGGCACCTCTGGGCAGATCTGAACTGCCAACCTTTTGCTTAACCGTTTGCATCACCCAGGAAATGCTGGTAATAATAATAATGTGGCCCTAATGTTGTTCTCAGGAGCCCTGGTGGCACAGTGGTTAGGAGCTTGGCTGCTAACTGAAAGGTTGGCGGTTCGAACCCACCAGCCACTTTGCTGGAGAAAGATGTGTCAGTCTGCTTCCATAAAGATTACAGCCTTGTAAATCCTATAGGACAGTTCTACTTTGACCCATAGGGTTGCTATGAGTCAGAATCGACTGGGCAATGGGTTTAATGTTGTTCAGAGCAGCAGTGTGCACAGTTCAAACTACAGTTTCCTGCCCCATCCCTGTAGCTTGGTCACCATGTGACAGTTCTGGACAATGAGATGCAAATAGAAGCTGGTAGGTGGGGACTGCAGGAAAGCTGTCTGAAGGAGGCAGGCGCCTCTGGCATGGACCTGTTGCCCTTCACACTTTCCCTTTCTGCCTGGAACAAAGGTGAACCCACATCTTGCAACCATGAGGAAATATGCATGAGATCAGAAGTCACACAACAAGGACAGCTGAGTGCAAAGAGAAGCAGCTGAGGTCCTGAATGGCATTATGAAGACGCCATGCTAACCCTGGACCCTCTGCCTCTGGAATTTTTCTCACGTCAGAGCTAATTCCTCACCATTCAATCAGATTTTCTGTTGCTTACCAAGCACGATCTTGACTGATATATGAGGCTAAATGATGTGTTGTTGTTAATAGAAGCAAAGTGATGATTATATACAGCTGAGCATGCTGTTGTTGCCTTGCTAATCATGTTGCATATAGTCAAACAAATAAAACAGCAACTATGGTAGACTGAAAGGGGCCCTGGAGTTGTAATGGTTAAGCACTTGGCTGCTAACTGAAAGGGTGCCTATTTGAACCCACGCAGTGGCTCTTGCAGGAGAAATACTTGTTCATCTGCTCCTGTAAAGATGACAGTGTAGAAAACCCTATGGGACAGTTCTACTCTCTCACATGGGGTCACTATGAGTCAAAGTTGACTCGACAGCACCTAACAACAGCAACATGGTAGACTGAAGAAACTGAACTATTAAGTATAAAAACATGTTCTTTAACCCAGAATCTTTCATTTACTGGTCATGGTGAAGGTGTAAGAATCCTGTGGAATCTTCTACCTCAATTTCCAAACTCTCCTGACCCACTCCAATGTTCTTGTCAAGACCACCACAATATTCAAGTTGCCAACTCCAGTGGTCTCTCGCATTTCCTCACTTTATCACGGAGCAGGATACGGTGGCAGACACTTTCTCCTTTTCCAAATAGCCTCCTCTCGGCCCACACACTCCACAGGCCCACCAGTCCCTGAGCTGGCTTCTCATCTACCTCTCTGCAGCTCCTTCTTGCATGCAGGATCATCCTCCTCCACTCAACTGCCAAATGTTGGCATTCCATGGCACCAAGCCTTGGGATCTCTTCCTTTCTCTCTTTATCTTCACTGATGTCTCCTTTCCTATAACTTAAAAATACCATCTTCCTGATAACAATTTGCAGATTTATATTGCTGGCCCAAACAACCCATGCTGAGGTCTAAACTCATCCAAATATCTACTTGACCTCTCACCTGGATGTGGCACAGGTATCTCAAGCTTAGTGTGCCCCAAACTAGACTCTCCAGTATCCATACAAACAGTACTATTTAGCAATAAAAAGGAAGGAAATACTGATACATGCTACTACACGAATGGACCTTGAAAATATGCTCAGCAGAAGCCAGGCATAAAAGGCCACATACTGATGCCATTTATATGAAATGACCAAAATAGGCCAATCTACAGAGACATCAAGTAGATTAGTGGTTGCGTAAGAACTGGAGGTAGAAACGGAGTAACTGCAAATAAGCACAAGAGATCTTTTAGGGGTAATGGAAATGTGACAAAATTGGATTGTGGTGATGGTTAAACAACTCTGCAAATTTACTAGAAATCTTTGTATTGTATACTTAAAAGAATTAATGTTATGGTATATAAACTACACCTCAATAAAGCTGTTTAAAAAAAAAAACACCTAAAACACTCAATTCCATCTGCTCAATGTGCTCCTTGTCCAGTCTTTTCCTCCTCAGAAAATGGCTCCACCATCCATGAGACCTTTGATGTCATGCTGTACTCTTTCTTCTCATCATCTGCCACACTCTATCCAAGTCCAGTTGGGTCTTCTTCCAAAACACCTGTCTTCTTGATTGCTCTCCATCTCTACTGCCACCACTTTGTGCTAGTCCACTTTAACCTCCAAGTTTACAGGAGTCTCCTAACAGTTCTCTTTCACCCTTGCACCTTTCCATCTATTTTCACATAGCACTCCAAGAAATCCTCTTAAAATCTACACTAAAGCACAATACCAGTGGTAGAATTCTTGTCTTCCACGTGAGAGACCAAGGTTTGGTTTCTGGCACCTCATGCGCAGCCACCACCCATCTATTAGTGGAGGCTTGTATGTTGCTATGATGCTGAACAGGTTTCAGTAGAACTTCCAGACTAAGATGGACTAGGAAGAAAGGCCTGGCAATCTACTTCTGAAAATTAGCCAATGAAAACCCTATGGATCACCATGGTCTGATCCGCAACCGATCATGGGGATGGAGCAGGACAGTGGGAGAAAACACAATTACATGAAACTCCCTTAGATTATTATATATTCTTTTCTTGGTAAAAACTTTCAAATATGTTTTATTCCATCCAGATATTTAGACCAGTAACTGGGATGTTAGAAGCAGTTTAAGAAGGTTTAACCACGTGGAATACACAGGAATCAAATTGACTACATCTGTAGAAAGAGACAATTGAAAAGCTCAATATCATCAGTCAGAACAAGGCCAGGGGCCGACTGTGGAACAGATCATCAATTGCTCATATGCAAGTTCAAGTGAAAGTTGAAGAAAATTAGAACAAGTCCACAAGAGCCAAAGTACAACCTTTAGTATATTCCACCTGAATTTTAGAGACCACCTCAAGAATAGATTTGATGCGCTGAACATTAATGACTGAAGGCCAGATGAGTTGTGGAATGACATCAAGGACATCATATATGAAGCAAGAAATCATT